CAGGATTTCCCAAACCTTTCCTGACCAGAACTCCTTTATTAAAAAAGGAAAAAGGAAAAAAAGAAACAACAACTTTCAAAACCCGTGCATGACTTTAGTCACTGACATAGATCTGACCTTCTCGTGGAGTGTCAGCAAAATTCGAGTGTGCAAACAGAGTTCCTTTAGGTAGCTGCTTAGGGGACAAGGGTTCTGCAGGTCACACCGAGGGACACGAGTCTCCTCCAGCCATCTCCTCTTACGGCCCCAGAAGATTTGAGATGAGGTGCCTCGCCCGGGGGGGATGTGACTGAGCCAAAGCTAAAATTTGCCTTCCTGACTCACAGCCCACGCTCTGTGGACATCACAGGGATGAGATCTGTCCCATTCTACAAACAGGAGATACCGAGCGAAGCCTTGCTCCAGGCTCCCTCGTTAGGAACACTGGATTGGGATCCAGATCTCTTGACCCTCAGCCTGGAACAAAAAAAGGCCTACAGCTTAGAAGTTTAGAGCTGCCTACGGGACTTATGTATTTTTAGCGCCTTTCGATGACTGAAGGAGTGGGACTGCGGCCCCTGGGGAAGATGAGTCACTTCTGTGGCGTGCCTGGTCAAATGATTCCGCGGAGCCAGAGGAGGCTGGAGATCATTCAAAGGGCTGGGCCACACCAGAGCTTCCTGCCCACGTCAGCAGGAAGCCCACAGACGAGGTTCACTTTCTCCAGGAGGCAGCAGGTGCGTGGCCCGGCCGAAGTTTGCTCCAAAACATTTTCCAGCCTTTGAACCTGGAAGCTGCAGCTACCCCTAGCCTGGGCTGTATGCTTAACCGGAGAGAAGCCCCGGGGTTCAGGTTTTGGCCGGGGCAAACCGACACAAGTGTCATTGAATCGGCAGAGAATCGCAGCCTGGGAAGGCCTGTGGCTGGAGACAGGAGACGGACACCTCTAGAGAGAGTGGTCCTCAACTGAGCACGCATTACACTCACCAAGGAGGGTTGGTGAAAACACGAATTGCCAGGTCCAACCCCAGGAGGGGCTGACTCAGCAGATCTGGGGTGTTCCCTGGGATGGTGATGCTGCTGGTCCAGGGGACCACGGTTTGAGGAGCACTGCTCTAGGGTGCTCTTGGGAGGATGCCCTGAGGCACCTCCCCCGCAAGAGTTGCCGCCCCACAGGCCTAGAATGAATGCTGCCTCTACTCTCATCATTTTGTCCCCAGTTTTAGAACCCGAGCAGGGAGCTTTGTCTCCCAGCTCTCAACCTGGAACTATCTGGGGACACCAAGCTCGGAACTCAGAGAACGGGCTGAATTATTGCTTTGATACTTCAACCAGCTCTATCGAGATAGAATGCCCATCACACAGATTTCGCCCTGTTGAAGTGTACAATTCAATGATTTTTTTGTGGGCGCAGATATGTGCCTCCAGAACCACAATCGATTGTAGGACATTTTCATCACTGCGAGGAGGAAGCCGGTACCCATGAGCTATTGCTCCCTACCCCAGCCCCGAGCAACCCTTAACCTACCTCCTGGCTCTCTAAATTTGCCCATTCTGGCCCTTGTATTGTAGCCTGGATCAGAGCTTCATTCCTGTTCATGGCTGAGTAATATTTCGTTGTATGGTTAGAGCCCATTTTGTTTCTCCGTTCGTCCAGTGCTGGGCTTTAGTTTCTGCGGTAAATAATTGATTGGCCTTTCGTTACAATTCATGGAACTGTACAGACTGAGTACATTTTACTGTATGTTAATTTTTAGGAAAAGGACCTAGGCACCTTCCACTTCCTGTCTCGGAACAGGGTTGGGCTGAGCCGCCAGGTGGGAAAGGCCAGGTGGGTGGTGGGCAGGGCCAGTGGGGGCCAGCCTCCCCTCCCGAGCCGGTGTGGAGTGGGGCTGTGCCCCTAAGAGACCCTGGCCAAGCCACCATGGGGAGCAGTAGAACCTCCGAGATGGGCCCTGGCCGCCCTCCTGGCCCACGGAGCTCTGAGCTACAACAAAGATGTCCTCGTGAGCCCTCAAGTCTGTGTGTCATTTGTTTCAGGGAGTTAGGTGATGGGGCAGCTGCGGCCCCTCCCTGTGGGGGGTCTGGCAGGGAATTCTCCCCGGCCAGCACTGTCCACACGCAGCCGGCCGGCTCCCTCCTCTTACCCTTGCCCAATGTCCCTGCTCTCCACCATGACCCAGGCTTTGCTTCGAAAACAGGGGGCGGGTCACTTCCCTCCTCTGTCCAAGCCCTGTGTGACTTGCCCCAGCTCCCAAACCTCACCACTTCCTACCTCTCTCAGTGCCTTGGTCTCCCTCGCCCGCCACGCACACTCCCCATGCGGAGCTTTAAAAATAAGCAGCTTTGGGGTGCCTGGGTGGCTCCGTTGGTGAAGCATCTGCCTCCGGCTCAGGTCGTGATCACAAGGGCCTAGGATCAAGCCCTGCGTCGGGCTCCCTGCTCAGTGGGAAGCCTGATTCTCCCTCTCCCTCTCCCACTCCCCCTGCTTGTGTTCCCTCTCTCTGTCAAGTAAATAAACTTTTAAGAAAAAAAAAAAATGAACAGCTTTCTTGAGATAGAACTCGTATCTCAAAAAACTGACCCCTTTAAAGAGTAGAGTTCAGGGCACCTGGGTGGCTCAGTCGGTTAAGCGACTGCCTTCGGCTCAGGTCATGATCCTGGAGTCCCGGGATCGAGTCCCGCATCGGGCTCCCTGCTCGGCGGGGAGTCTGCTTCTCCCTCTGACCCTCCTCCCTCTCATGCTCTCTGTCTCTCATTCTCTCTCTCTCAAATAAATAAATAAAAATCTTTAAAAAAAAAAAAAAAAAATAAATAAATAAATAAAGAGTAGAGTTCAGTGGGTTTTAGTGCATTCGGATCAGTGTGTCTGTGTCAGATCAAGCTGACCCGTGTTTGTTGGTCTTCGTCTCCCCACTGGGAGGTAAGGCCTTGGGGCTTGATGGCCTCCGTGTCCCCGGCCCCCCGCAGCGGTGCCTGGCGGGCACGGCGCGGAAGCCAAGTTGTTCGGGTGCACGGAGAAGGCGATCTCAAGGATGCGAACAGGTCCTTGAGATGACGGCCGGGCCTCGGCTGACCTCGTCCGTGTGGGGCTCCTAAGAGATGGGCCTGTGCCCCCCGTCTGCCTTCCACCCAGCCCCCCCCCACTTCCCTGGCTCTCGCCCACGGCCACCTCTGAGGCCGGAGACAGCTAAGAGCCTCCCTGCTTAGCCCCTGAGGTCACATATCTGCATCCTAGGGGGACCCGGGGGGCACACAATACCTCACCTGCAGACTCCGGATGGTGGTCATTCTCAAGTAGTCGAAGGAGTAGCAAGCGCCCGGGCTGGCCGAGCTGGGTGACGGCCCAGCTGCAGCCGTGGCAGGGGCCTCCGGCGGGTGACTCGCGCCCGCCCCCGCCCCCGAGGCTACCCCTGCCCGCAGGGTCTCCTCGAACACATCCGCTGCCCCAACTCCCCGACCCTCTTCCAGCAACGGCGCCCGCTCTGCTTCGCAGCCCCGAACTCGGGCGGCGCGCGGCAGAGCCGCTCCCCGGCGCTCCAGGCTGTTAGGAGGCCGCTCGTCGCACTGGGGGCGCTGGCTCTGGGCACCTTTGGCTGCCGTGTGAGAGAACTGGGTAAGGTCACCGTGTGGAGAGACCGGAGGGACAGCAAAGGGGCGGGAGGAGGAGGGGGCGCTGGGGGAGGGGCGCTGGAGGAGCCCCATCGTGCAGGGGGCCCCGCTCGTCCGTGAAGCCCAGGGCAGGGCCGCCTAGCGGACCCCAGGCAACCCCGATGTGTCCGCAGGGTAAACGCTCATTCTTGCTCACAGCCCCTGCTTGCAGTGGTTGCTTCCTCGGCTGTAGATAAAGCTCCTCCTCCTCAGCCCTTCCTCCTTCCCGTCTCACTCCAGCTTCTGGGGGACCACCTCCCCATAGAACTCACCTGCCTGGCCTGCCGTTCTGGGTTCGAGAGAACCCAAGGCAAGATAAGCCCTGAGCAGCGGGGCAGGTAAGGTCACTCAACTTAGGGAAGATACTGTAACCCGAGCCTTGGATTCCTCACCCAGAAAGTGGGAAGAGTGCCAGTTCCAACCGAAGATCCTCCTGAGGTTGAAAGAAAGAATCCCGGTGAATTTAGCATCTGGTGGCCAGGGGCCTGTTTGGGGCAGCTCATCGGCTCAGAGGCAAATTCTGGTCCAGGTTCCAGGGGCAATGGGTGCGCCAGGGACCTCCCTCCGTCCTTCCAATGATGAACTGCCAAAGGTGCGGGGAAGAGGTGTCCCAACTGTGACTGGGCTTGTCCGCTGGGGGGTGGGGGGCTTGTGAACCCCCTGGGGGGCAGTGGGGCCACACTTTCTTCTTGGGCCCCATGGGACAGAGAGCCAGCTCTGTTCTTATAGAAATGTTATGCTATTTTCCTGATAAAGATAATAAACTGCTTGTCATAAGCTAGGCTTCCCCCTGGTTTCTGTTTTTCTTCTCTAATCAGATTACCCCAACTGACACAAACTTAAGCAAATAGCTTCATTTCAGGTCACAGGACTTTGTACTGCAATCAAGGATTTGAATGAAATTCCTGGCAAAATATAGTAATTACAAACACCATGAAAGCTGCCTCGAAACGTCCCAGCCTCCCGCACTAAAAGGCAGTCTGGTTAATTTCCAAATTATATTTGGGCTTAACATGCAAAGGGCTCTTTTTCATTCGGGCACAGAAAATAGGCCTGAAGATCATTGCAATAACCACACAAGACTAGGAATGTAATTATAAAATGAACCATACCCTAGCAGGCAAATCATTTTAATGTGTTTTGAGAACTGAATATTCTGTATGGAATTAAAAACAAAGAAAAAAAATCAACGTGCAGAAAATTAATTAAAAATAGGTAAGACACAGAAAACCTTCGAGTGTCATAAAATTACAAATACGAAAGCAACAAATTAAAACACACGCACACACAATTACAGATTTTGGTAACATTAGTAGCCAGAACATACCCAACGAATTGCTTGATCGTCAAATATCTTACTAATTTTGAAAGGGTGGGGGTGGGGGCTGGTGGTGATGACTGACTTCAGTTGACCCCAAAGGATTCCAGTCTTCCTTCCACTGCAAGCAAACCGCTTTGAGAAGTGGAGCGCCTTTTCTCAAAGAAAACGGACACAGAAGGTTGATCCCCTCTGCCCCGTTCCACCATCACATTTGTACATTCATTGACCTCTTTTAACTAAGGCAACTGAAAGACAGTTTCTTGAGACCCCAACACACCCTCAGAAGGACAGAACATAAATTCTATTCCTGTTACAAAAGAGCGGAACTCACTTCCAAGCTGAGGGCAGTCATTCTGTAAAGTGCAGGATGGTTCACTGTTAGAGACTTCGTGCTGAAGACGTCTTTAGGCGGGGTGGACGGGAGCGGATGGGGACCCGGGCAAGCCCTGGGTTGAGCAATGACCCGTATGAGAAAGGTGACACGTGGGTCAGTCCTCAGGGATGGTTTCACCTCTGTGCACACCGCTGAGGTAGGAGCTTCAGGAGAAATGCAGAATATCTTAAGGGAATGAGAATGTCTTCTTGGCAAATCAGTGCCCTCTTGCTCAGTTGGGGGCCTAAGGCGGTCATAGTCACAGGCCGGGCAGGGCCAGGTGGGCCACGCAGGACCTTACAGAATTCAAGAGTTGGATCAGATCGCAGCCACAGAGGAGAGCAAGATCCAAGACAAAGCCACTGGAGGTGGGCGAGGTCCCAGTGCTGACCCGGGGGGCACCTGCTGTCTAGTGCAAGCTCAAGGGGGTGGCGACGGCGGGGGGGAAGGGGGCAGGGAGTGGGGGCGACGTGAAGTGGAAAACCCCGGCAGCAACCTACAAAACGGTTATTAGCAAATGGTATCAAAAAGTATCAAAACATTTCAAAAAACTTTAAAAACTGCCAGGCTTGGCAGACGCACAGGGCAGGATCTCCGAGGGCCTGTGGAGCTGCCCTACGCTCCAGAGGTTTATTCTGGGGGCCAGGACACGACCCCCTCCCCGCCCCTCTGAAGACACTCGGAATCCATGGAGAGGCCAAGGATGGAACTGCCCCTCCAGGGGCAGGGCCAGTGGTCTGAGATTCCAGCCGAAAGCTCTGAGAGACAGAAGGCCCGGGAGGTACTCCTTCGGCAGCTGCTGGGCTAAGCCACATGCCATGGAGGACCAGGGTAAAGATGAAGCCTGACAACTCTACCAGGGGCTGGGGGTGGGGTTGGGGGATCTTTCACCTCCCACATTGCTGCAAACCACTGAAAGGTCACCTGGCTGAGGGGCCAGGTATTTGGAACCACAGGTTAACTCACCTGAGCTCACCGAGTGGGATCTTGGAGCTCAGAGGAGGAACTGGGACCCCACTCCCTTTGGCATTTCGGTCTCCACCCAAAACTGAACACCCCTTAGGGTTGGCTTCTGGGGTTTCTACTAAGTCACCATGAGGTCACCTTATCATTAAAGAGCAAGGGGAGGAGCATTCAGAATATAATTCACACACGAGGTTTTCTGCTCAGATCAAGATCTGAAAGTCCTACCGGGCAGTCTTTCTAAAATGCTAAAACGCTAACACTTAACATCGAAAACATTAAAAATACCGATTAAGCCGTACGAACACACAACTTGCTAAGACAAGCTCTGTATATTTAAACAGCAGGAAGAAGTAACCAGGACTCTTCAGCCTTCTATTCCCCTCCCTTCTAGCGTGACAGTCACGTCTTAAGCAAACAAGGTGCCAACTTGGGTGAGGATCAAACTCAAAACATACAACTGACATGAAGTGAAAACTCTAGTTCTTTAAAAGTGAGAATAAAACCCAAAAAACCTGAATGAAAGCCCACTATGCTTATTTTGAAAGATCCAAAGAAGCGATTCTGGTGTTCTCCAACAACCTTTGTCCCTGCGGTAGGAAACCACACCACTGAGATTCTGCCGCTCAGATGGCCACCTGCAGGAGTGCATCCCCAAGCGGACCGCCCAACTGGGTTAAACAGCATCTTCTCCCATTCTCCGCTGGACGGCACAGCAGGGTGACTGCCATCTTAAAAACATCGGACAGCAGCTACCTGTCATGGGTCCCACCACCATGCTGCCCGGCGTCTGGGCAGATGCTGCCCCCTGGTCGTTGACGCTCCTTTCCCTTGACACCGATAGGCTCAACAACCTTTCTTCACACAGGGAAACCACCACCAATCACGTGAAGCCAGCCCACGAGAAGAAACTGATCAACCTTACCTTTGAAAGAACACTCCCAGGCCTAACCATATTGGAACCTAAACCCCGTAAATGAAAAGCCTGCCTTCAGAGTGGCAAGAGTGACACCACGAAGTATGAGGTGCAGGACACTGTACGGAACCCACAAGGCACAAGAGAGTTGAGTAGCGACCAGCACTGCACTGTTATCCAGGGACACGTCACGGTAGTCAAAAATAAGAGAGCGGGCTTAAGCTAAAAATGGACGTCTCTCCTCTTCCCAAGGTCAAAGCCATCCTGCTCCCCAAAGCACACATGGAATCTACGTGCTCTTCCCCACCTTCCCCTGGACTCTGGTTGAACAACCACCTCTTTATGACTGAGCACAGACCACATGTTCCATGCCTTCCAAAGGGTCCTCTAATAGTAATATCTTCCCTGGAATAGGAAGGGGGTAAGCTATCCCAAAGTTGGCAGAAGTTCTGCAGAACATTTTGTGGAGGGCTGGACAAGGTATGAGACAAAAAAAGGGTTTTGGGCTCAGTGAAGTTTGGAAACACTGGATTGATGGAAGGTTAACAGTTAATGTGGGACTTCCCAGAGACTTTAATACACTGAAGTACTGTGGAGCTCCATGAAGAGCGTATAGTTTTTGGTTTGATTGTTTGCATGCCTTGCAGAACCTCTCAACAGTTTGGAAGCCTCTAGGGACTTCCGCATGCACGGAACTAGCCAAGTCAGCAGACCCCTTGCCCCACTAACGACGGAGGGCACTGATTTATGTACTGAAGCTTTCAACACCCAAGCCACTCAAAATCACAGTAATCCTTTAAGGGAAAGGAAAAGAAGTACAGTAAAGAGATCTTTTTTTTTTTTTTTTTTTTTAAGGAAATAAGTTAACGGAGATTCATAGTCTAATACCAAGGTTAACAATAAATCTTGAGGTGTTCTCATCTCTGCAATCTGATCTTTGTCAAGGCAAAGATCGTGAACGCCTCCCTCGGCAAGCACGCTTCTCTTCCCATATCCTTGTGTCCACGGCAGCTGGGGCAGGGGTCCCCAGCTGACCTCCGAGGGCACACAGTTAGTGATACCTGCAGAAATCAGCGCGGGGCGGTCACACATCGCAAGAGGAGGTGCTGAACACACATTAATAGCTTATACGGACTGAAGGCACCGAGCCCTGGGAGGCAGTGATTTTGGCCCACCGCGCAATGAATGAGGGAACAGCTAGGACTTGTTAAAGAATTTGCCCAGCAGCACAAAACGACTTCGCAGTGGACGGCTGAGTTGGGGAGGGGGTGGGTACCTGACATCCTCCTTAGGGAGCAAGATGTGCTCGGCTCACTCATGGAGGGGCTGTCGAGGGCTTCTTGGAGCCAAGCCAGAGAAAACAATGGCAAATTCTAGGATGGCCACTTTTTCTTTCCTGAGAAATGAACAGATTTTGGGGGCTCAGTATGTCAGTAACATAAGAAAACAGTGGGTTCAGGGGAAAAAAAGCACACGTTACAGAAAAATGTTTAAGAGTTTCATGCCTTTTTTTTTTTTTTTTAAGTTTCTTGATTACCTGGACCCTTTTAGAATTCAGGAAGATTACCCATCAGGAAAACGGGACTACTCATAAACAACAGTCACCAGATCAGGAAATCCTGGTGGGAACGTCTCCCTGGTGAGAAGTCCCAGGTCTTGCCCTGTGGGGGGGCCTCGGAGTCCCCACTCATAAACATGAACGCACTTGACGTTGCCCATGATGGCCAAATGTGGACAGTGCTCAGTCATTCTGGAAATTGGTTCGTTTCCAGGCACCCCCTCTGCCCCTACTCCTGGTAGTTTTAGAATGGATAATTCTGAGGTGGGGCCCAGGAATCCAACAGCTCAGCCAAGCTGAGAGAGGCATGGACTGGGGGATCCCAGCTATCCCCACCACGGCCCCTAGTTTCGCTCACAAAAATTTCTGCATAAGCCCTGCCCTAGGTACTTCAGCGGGGGGCAGTGAGGTGGCATCCTCGGGGAGACTCAGAACGAGGGAAGAAGCCCTGCACAGAGATGAGGGGCTGTTTTCTGCCTGGGCCCGGGTTTAATTATTCAAGCAAAATAATATGTAAAATTATACAGAATATTTAATCGGTTACTGTGATATCATAGAAATATCAAGAATCATAAAAGTAAAAAAAGCTGCTAAGAAGTATATCATGGTTCCAGGATGCTACGAAGTTGTTGCTGGTCTAGACACTCTGGCAGGTGGTGGCGGGGACCAGGTCCCCGCCAGGCGCAGGCAGGGGGGGTGGGGGTGGGGGAGGGGGGTGCGGGGGCGTCACTGGCCCCGGTCCTGGTGCCTCTTGCCCTTGCCCTTCTTCTTCTTGTCCTCCAGCCGCGGCTTCAGGGCGCACACGCAGGCGGACACGCCGGCGATGGCCTTGGGCAGGTCGGGGCCCTTGCTCCACTTGTCCTTGTCACGGTCGTACACCTGCACGGTCTTGGAGAAGGCCGTGCTCTCCCAGCTGTAGCCGCCCAGGATGTAGATGCGGCCCTCCCACACGGCCACCCCCGACTCACTGTTGGCGTGCAGGAGGGGGGCCACGCGGGTCCACTGGTTGCACTGCGGGCTGTAGGCCTCGACGCCCAGCACATCGAAGCGCTCCATGGACTCGATGCTGTCGTCGCTGCCGCCGATGCAGTAGATGCTGTCCCCCAGGCTGCACATGCTGTGCCAGCCCCGCGCTGTGCTCATGGGCCGCCGCTCCTCCCACACGTCCGTCCGGTGGTCGTAGCACAGCAGGTTCTTGCGGTAGGGGCCGATCTGGTAGTCGTGGCCCCCTGAGATGTACACAAAATCTTTGTAGATGGTGCCCGCGTGGCCGTAGGTGAACCTGCGGGGAGACGGGGTGGGGACAGAGAGAGGCAGAGAGGAGGCTCAGGGCCGTGCCCGGGCTGGGACCTCCTGGCGCCGGGCCTGCGCTCTCTTCCCCTGACTAAGGCGGGGGGGGGCAACCTGTTCTCTGGGAAGACGGGAGGCAGTGGGGACCTGAGGGGACCACGCAGGGAGCAGGCACGCCATGCACACTTTACAGACACTGGACAAGGTCACGGGACAAGACGTGCCAGGGCCGGGTGGGGAAACGGACGTGCGGCTCGGCATCATGCCGCCTGGGCTCTGCCCCGCGCTCCGTTTCCCCCGCCCGGGAGTGGGGACAATCACGAGGCTGACCCTTTCTGGAGGAGCGGAAAACAAGGCTGTGCAATCGAGGCACACAGAGGCACCTGATCAAATTATACCGCAAACGGGAACCAAACAAAGTACAATTCAACTCTGCGACGTTCTGGAAAAGACCGGAGGGACAGTGAAATATCCGAGGGGCTCGCGGGAAGGGTGGGACGAATGGGTGGCACACAAGAGCGCCTCAGGGTCGTGAACCTCCTCTGTGCGACGCTGAGGACACGCATCCCCGCACTTTTGTCCCGAGCCACAGAACGTACAACACAGACAGCGAGCCCTCACTCGGGGCGACCCCCCTTCAGGTGCTGCAGCCACTCGGGCTGTAACAGGTCGCTGCTCGCGACTCCAAGAGGTTACCAACGGGGAAAGATGCTCTGCGGGGAAGGTCTAGGGAACAATCTGGACCTTCTGCTCAGTTTTTAATTTTCTCTAAAAAGTGCAGTGGACATAAAACCGAGAAGAAAAGAACAGAACCCAAGTGGAAACACAGATGACAGGAGAAGGGGAGGTGATTCAGGGGAGTGGCTGCACAGGGCAGGCCGGGGGCGGCGGGAGGGGAGCGTCTGGGAGGGCAGCCCGGGGCGGCTCTCGGGCTGGGCTGCGGGTTCATGGAGGTCCCGTTACACACACACACCAATGATCACAGCGTCATGGGCTATGTTGACTCCAATCCCGGCAGCTCAGGCCCATTTAGAAAGAAAAAACCAGGGTTGTTGTAGCGTTGAGGTACGTAAGTCACCCCAGCTGGCCCAGAGAAAGTGACGGCAGCAGATGCTCTTAGGACTACCGTGAAGCCTCACTTCTCCATCTGTGAAGTGGGATGGTGAAACAACAGTCCTAAACCTAGGGAGACCAGAGGTCTCGGTTTACCTACGACACCGTCGGTATTTACACTGTTAACCTCCCCAGTTCACTGCCAATCCTGGTTTGGATGACAAATTATGTGGGCGACTACCTCCACCCCACCAGGTCACTGTGGGGCTCAAGGGACTCGTCACTTAAAGCACCTGGCCCAAGAGATGGCACGGGCTAATCAGGAGCCACTATCCCGATTGCCTGAGGTGTTACTCCATCGCCTTTTTGGAACCTCTACACGAAGGTGGTAGCAACTAGAGACTGCAGGACTGCGATTCACAACCTGCGGCTTACGCCACGCGTCCTTCTAGCTCCCCAGGAGCCGTGCAAGACAGCTGCCCATGCCCCACGGCAAGACTGTTCACAAAGCGTGCTTGCAGGTTCAACTATAAGGAGCTGGTAAAATTGGTGACAAACACCTTCTGCTAGATCTGCGATGATGACCAGTGCTCCTAAGTGCAGACCTCGATGCGGAGCGCCTGAGGAGGAGTGAGGGCCCCGGGCGCTCCCCGGGTACTGGATGCTGTGTGTTGGGGGGTGAGGCCTCTAAGGAACATCTCGCCCTGACAGCCCTATGGGGCAGGTGTTATCACGGCCGCTGGGTCCACCTTCCCTTCCCTTACAGATGGAGTGAGAGCGGGGTGAAGACTCTGGCTCGTGTCACAGATCTGTCACCTCTTGGAACAACCCAAGCCCACACTCAGGACATTCCTAGGGAAAGCTCTTGCTATCTGAACTTAATACTCTCTCCCTGAAACTCCAAACAGACTCGGAAACTGAGGGAGATCTGCCTGATTGGCAGAGCAGACACGTGCACCCGGATGGTCTGAAACCAGAGCCCTGACTGGTCACCACCACGCCCTCTGCCCCCATGGTCTGCCCACGGTTATTTACAAGCCAGGAGATTTTTTTCCTGGAATTGAAGGTCAAAATATCTAGAAAATGAGGTGGACAAAGCCATCACGTTTGCGGAGTCCGCCACAGAGCCCCCCATCACCTTGGCAAGCCAGCCACGTAGGACCAGGAGTCGGTCTTGGGGCTGTAAGTCTCCACCGAGGAAAGAGCTCCATTCTCGTTCCGGCCGCCGACGGCCACCAGCATGTCTTCAATGGAGGCCAGGTAGAAATCCACGCGGCGCTGGTTCATGGAGGCTACCTGTGGAGGCGGGACACCTGTACCTTCCCTTGCCCACACCTGGACCATGTCAACATCGAGCACTGAGTTCCCAAATGGGTTCTATGGAACACATAGCCCAGGAAGGTCAAGTGGTGGCCAAGCGTGTTTGGGAGAAGGAAGTCGAACTTGAAGAAAAGGGGGCTCTTGAGAGGGACTTCTCAGAGCTCCCAGGACCCTGGAGGCACTGCAAGTCCCCAAGAAGGGGATGGAGAACACAGTTCCCCTAACTTGTTTGGCCATGTGGCTGACCTCATGGGCTTGAGTTCCACGGAACATACAGTTCAGAAACCGGCTTCGTGGTGTCCCGTAATAAAAATTCATCTTTCCTTTTGCTCCTCCCCACATGAGATACTTTTAAAATTAATGCTGATTGCTATGTGTTAAGAGCAATCAACAGGAAACTTAAAGCAAAAGACCCCATTTTTTTTGTTTGTTTAAATAATTCAGGTAGAACAGAGAAGTGAACACAGTCCCAGAGGAGACCACACCTTCAGGCTGCCACCACTACAATGCTTTTGAGGATGAGCTCCAAAGCTGGGAGCCACTTTCCAGTGGCAGGACATAGACTTTGGAGGAGAGTTTTTAGGGGGTTTTTTGTGTTTTTTTTTTTTTTTTCCAGAATAAAACAGAAAGGTCATTGGAGTCCATTCTGTGTTTTGTGCCCAGGAAAAAACCCCATCAAGTTAAGTAAAAACACTGAGGTGTGAGGTGGTGCCTGGGTGGCTCAGTCGTTATGCGTCTGCCTTCGGCTCAGGTCCTGATCCCAGGGTCCTGGGATCGAGTCCCGCATCGGGCTCCCTGCTCAGCGGGAAGCCTGCTTCTCCCTCTCCCACTCCCCCTGCTTGTGTTCTCTCTCTCACTGTTTATCTCTCTCTGTCAAACAAACAAAATCTTTAAAAAAAAAAAAAACAAAAAAACCCACTGAGGTGTGAGTATAAAGACAGGCTGATTTTCTAGGGTGGTGGCCTGGGGAGGTGTTCACGAGAGAAGGGTCCACCTTCCCTGTGCCAGGCGTTTGCCAACCGCCCTGAGCAACATACAGCCTCTGATCGTAGAATGACAATGCCCTCCCACCCCGTTTCCAGAGGCAGAAGCTGAAATTCGGAGGGCAAGGCCCAGTCTGAAATCCACAGCTATGACTTAGCCGAGGTGGGGTGTGAACTCAGGTCTGATGCCAAGAGCCACACTTGCCAGAATTCACCACACCTGCCAGCAGGTGTGAGGCTCGGTGGCCTCCCTCCACGAGCTCCAAACCCTTCCCAAAGAGGGGGCTGCAGGGAGACTCTGAGACAGGGGAACGGGGTTTGAACTCTGGGTCGAATCTCGAGACCGGCACTATCCAGCACAGCAGCCTCCAGCCTCCCGTGGGCCTTTCTGCTTAGACGTAAATCAGTTAAAATAAAATAAAAGAGGGAATTCGGTGTTTCAGTCCCACTGGCCACATTTTGAGGGCTCAATCGCCACGTGTGGCCGGTGCCTTGGGTATCGGGCAGCACGGGTGTGGAGCGTTCCTACCACCGCAGAACGTTCCACCAGCGAGCAGGCACCGCTCCGGACAATGACCTGGCCTGCACACGGAGGCCAGTCGGCCCTCACGCGCCCCGTGCAGGGTGCGGGCGCCGGGGAGCGTGGGAATCACGGGGCTCGTCACTTTATCGTCACGCCTCGTTCAGAAGCGGGACGGTGGGGGCACCTGAGTGGCTCAGTCGTTAAGCGTCTGCCTTCGGCTCAGGTCATGATCCCAGGGTCCTGGGATCGAGCCCCACATCGGGCTCCCGTCGGCGGGAGGCCTGCTTCTCCCTCTGCCACTCCCCCTGCTTGTGTTCCCTCTCTCGCTGTGTCTCTCTCTTCAAATAAATAAAATCTTTAAAAAAAAAAAAGAAGAAGCGGGACGGTGGCCAAGGCCCGGGGGGGGGTGGGGGGCGGGCAGTCAAGGCTAGGTTAAGCGACCAAAAAGCCGTCAAGAGTAAAGAAATAATCTGGCTTTAATCTCACCTTGATCCACTGTTTACAGCGGGGGTCATACCTATAAAGAAGATTGGACGCCGCATCCCCTCCATTGTCCCGGGAGAAGCTGCCGCCGGCGATGAAGATGAACCCCCCCAGCACAGCGACACAGTGGTGGCTGCGCCGGGCCGGCAGGGGCGTCTCCTTGACCCACTGCTCGCTCTTGGCGTCCAGGTAGCAGGTGTCATCGCTGAGCTCCAGACAGCGCTCGGAGACCTCGCCGCCCACGAAGAGCAGGCGCTCCTCGTTGGTGCGGAGCGCCGTGCGCTTAGTCTGCATGACCGGCTGGGCCGCCAGGCTGTTGTGGTAGCGCACCGCCTCCTCGATGAAGCCCTCGCAGTTGGCCTCCCGCGGCAGCAGCGAGCACACGGCCGGCTTGACGCGGTGCAGCAGGTCGTTCTTGGGGATGAGCGGGAAGTGGATGTTCTCCAGCACCTGGTAGGCGTGGGCCTCGCGCTCGGGCTGCTGCGTGAGCCACTGCAGGGCGGCCTGCAGCAGGTCGTGCTCGCACTCCCGCTGCACCTCGCTGCTGCTCAGGTAGACGCACAGCTTCTGCATGGACACGTTCTGCAGGAAGTCGGGCGTGAAGGACAGCGTGCCGAAGCGGCTCAGGATGAAGCCGTCGATGAAGGCGTCGAGCCGCTTGAGGCTGTAGATGGAGGCCAGCTCCTGTAGGTACAGGTAGTTGTCCTCGCTCACCTCCTGCTCCAGGTACTCACAGCAGAAGTCCACCGCCGTCCAGATCTGCAGCAGGTGGGCCGTCTCCAGGATGTAGTCGATGTTGCCGCCGTCCAGGGCCAGCTCCCCGCCGTACAGGAAGTCCACCACGGCCTTGAGCCCGACAGAGGAGGCGCCGACCAGCTCCACCTCCTTCTGGAAGGCCTCGCGCATGCCGATGGTGAACATGGAGTTGAAGTAGTCGCTGCACACGGCCAGCAGGTTGCGGTGGGCCGGCACGCGCTGCTCGTCCGCCACCAGGACGACATCGCAGAAGAGCCCGCGCAGACGCTGCTCGTTCAGCCGCTGCAGCACCGTGCTCGAGTGGTCGGCCCAGTGGTACACCTGCGGCAGCAGAGAGCTCGGCTCAGGGGTCGGCTCCCAGGGGGAGCACGCCAAGCCCCTCCCCGCCCCGCTCCCCGCTGCAGGGCCCTGGGGTCAGTTTTCCTCATCTGGGAAATGGGCATGATGACCACATTCTGTCTCCTGAACTGCTCCCATGCCTCATCCTAAACGCCCTCATCCTCACTCGGGAGACCAGGCAAAGGGGGCTGAGAGGCGGCTTGTGGCTTTCCTGAGATCACACAGCTAGTGGCTGGAATTCAAACCCAGATTCTGTCCGAGTGTTGACACGGCCGGAACTTACAGTACAATGAAAGAGAAGGGGGAACAGGAGATCAGAGAGTCTGCAGGAAGTAAGGGTGTTTCTGTGTGTGGGGGTGTGTGTGTGTGTATTGTAGCTTTCCTTCTTCCTTTTCAAATGCAAGTCCTAAAGGGGCGCCTAGCTGGCTCAGTCGGAAGAGCAGGAGACTCCTGATCTCGGGGTTGTGAGTTCGAGCCCCATGTTGGGTGTAGATTACTTAAAAATAAAATCTTAAAAAAAAAAAAAAGTGACGGGGCGCCTGAGTGGCTCAGTCGTTAAGCGTCTGCCTTTGGCTCAAGTCATGATCCCAGGGTCCTGGGATTGAGCCCCGCATCAGGCTCCCTGTTCGGCAGGAAGCCTGCTTCTCCCTCTCCCACTCCCCCTGCTTGTGTTCCCTCTCTCACTGTGTCTCTGTCAGATAAATCAATAAAATCTTAAAAAAAAAAAGTGATACATCAATTGCAGTTTCTAAAAACTAACTTAGCATTTTCCCTTCCTTCCTACTTTCTTTCTTTATATATACAATTCTTAAAATCTTACTTTTTCTTTCTCTCTCTTGTCCTTCCTCTTTTCTTTCTAAATAGAATTCCTGGAACTTTTCTTTCTTCTCTCCCTGCCCCTTCTTTCTTTCTTACTGTGGGACATGAGCAAATAGCTCTAAAAACTGCTATCTTTTAAGGAGAGAATAATGTAATGAACACTGGGTATTATATAAGACTCTGACACCAATAATACATGTTAATTAAAAAAAAGAAAAAGAAACCTGCTGTCCTATCAGGACGGTGAAGTTGCTCAAATGTAGCCTAGCCAACACTTGGACAGAATCTGGGTTTGAATTCCAGCTCTGCTGCTCACTAGCTGTGTGATCTCAGGAAAGCCACAAGCCACCTCTCAGCCCCCTTTGCCTGGTCTCACGAGTGAGGATGAGAGTGTTTAGGATGAGGCATGGGAGTTCAGGAGACAGAATGTAGTTATCATGCCCATTTCCCAGATGAGGAAAACTGAGGTTCGGAGAAGCGAGGAAACTTGCCCAAAGTCCCACAGTGACCGAGTGGCAGGGCTGGGATTTGAAGGTAGGTCTGATTTCAGAGCCCAAACTTTTCATTGCCATACAGCATCGGAATTAACAAAATAATAAAAAAATATGAACAATTAAAATGGATTAATTCAATCAATTCAGGTTGGGAGACACTGACTGAGTGCTGTAAGCCTGCCATGTGCTTTGGAGGATACAAAGATCCGTCAGACCAAGACAGCAGCTCTTCCATCCTTAGAAGACCGATTAGGCTCCGGGCATTCAGGATCTGCATGCTGCTTGATTCGTTTACCTCAGAAACACCACAAAATTCAGCACAGGGAGACGGAGGCTGTCCAAACACATCTGCGAGGCTGCTGGCCTATTTGAGGGTGTTTGAGGAAAGGGGCTAGCTGGGCTCTAAGGTTGCAAGGGGAAGTGGTGGGGCGAGGGGTGATGGGCTGAGGGCTCCCTGCATGCATTCCTGCAGGTCACCTCTCAAGCCATGCCCTACTGCATTGGACTCATCTCCTTCTCCGCTTCCTGCCTCCAACGCATTTGTGATTGTGATACTTTACTTCCCTCCGGTCCCTCCTGGTCCAGACACTTCCCACACCAATCACGCCATCTAGACCACAGGTGCAGGCCACGTTCTCACACTCTGCTGAGGACACCAGACAGATACTGCCCAAAGCTTCCTTCCAAATGTGCCAAGCGCCAGGCTCTGCGGCTGTCACGGTACGGGACGGTTCCTCCGAGGTCCCGTACAGTCTCTCGGTCTATTCTGGTTACTGGCAGAGAGAGCCCGGCTGGCCTGGTATGGGCTTCTAATGAAGCAGAAATGGCCAGGGCTCCAACGCACCCTGGCTTGGGGCCCCTCTTTTTTTTTTTTTTTGCTTGGGGCCCCTCTTGGGCGTGGACTAAAGGAAGGAAGTGTAAAAGCACCAGAGCAGTGCAGGCTATCTCGTGACAGCAAAGGCTCAGAATCCTGAGAAGTGAGGGGCATCGAGTGGGCAGGCTGCCCAACCTGGCCCCCCGTTTGTCTCTAAGCTGGTGGGGATGTGGCACCACCACACTTAAATGGGTGTATACAGGACCCCCATCTGCAGTGCAAGAAGAGAAAGAGCCCTCCAGGGGGCGGGGTGGGGAGGGAGGGACAGCCCCAGATGACAGCTGCCGAGGGGACCATCTGCTCCAGTGAGCCGGGGCAGGGAGAAGAGCAGCCACTCTTTCTAAAACTGGGTCTCCGTGCTAAGTAGGCATGTTTCATTCTTCACCTGGGTCTCAACTACAACCCCCTGTTTCTGGTTATTTTCGTGTAGCTGCAAAGATGAGCACTTTCAAAAAAAAAAAAAAAAAAAAAATCCAGAACAACATGACTTCCCAATTTTAAAGGGACATGAGTAACAGTCTCGAGGCATTTCCTATAATTTGGAAGGCCCAACCCCTACATTCTTTGATGGTATTAACCCTATTCATTCCTTTATTTCCTTGCCTTCATCAGAGCAAGGCAAGCTAGGTGAAGGAACACAGCCACTCAGCAGCTAACCTAGCCAGAATGTAGCAGGTATAGGGTATTTCATATTAAAAAAAATCACCATCGAAACGGATGAAGACATTTCGGAGCAGATAAATGAACAGTGGCCGTCACACTAGGTAAGACTCTAGCGTGCTGGGAAGGAACCACCTCCCACTACACAGCAACCAGGATGAACCTCGGAAGCGTACTAACCCGTGAAAGGAGCCAGGCACACGGGTGTACCTACCCCCTGGTCCCATTCACAGTAAGTTCAAGGGCAGACAAAATGCCAGTCCCGGAAGCTGGAGACTGGGACGGGAGGGTCTGCTAACATTCTTTTGTAATCCGGGTGCTGGCTACAGAGATGTGTTTAATATCTAGAAAACTGAAGATACACTTACCATTTGGGTTCTTTCTTTAATACAAAACATTAGAAACATAAACAATCTAACCAAGGAATAGGTTCAGACAGAAACAAACTCAGGATGTGGCTTTAAGGGACAAAGATTTCTAGCACTATCACACTGAGAAAGCTACACTGTCTCTGCAGCCAGGGTCCGAAACAAAGCCTCTTTGAGACAGCCGCGAGACCTCTCTGGGTTTTCACAGCAGATAAAGCCAGGCTTGGCAAGCGCCTTCTCGGGAACTCAGATGGAAACAGGAGCCCGTTTCTCTGGAGAACCAACCTCTCCTGAAAATTACACCCCATTTTCCTATCATGCACATCTGCAGAACCTCTGTCCCTCTTTTTTCCCTTCAAATCTACAGGCTGCTCACAACTCCCTTTATCTAAAGTGCTATTTTCCTTAATCTTTTTTTTCAATCTTCTTGTAAGATATTTTTTTCCTAACCGTTCCCGTGAAATTTTAAGACCACACATATTCTGCATTATCTGTGCATGAACCATATGTACAGCTGCTCTAATCACACACACACACACACACAAACAGTAAAATTCTTTCTGCATCCCCAAGAACCAATTCTGCCCCCTTGGGAGTAATACTGGTTCCGTTGAAAATGCATGATCTAGGGGCGCCTGGGTGGCTCAGCTGGTTAAGCAATGTCTTCAGCTTAGGTCATGATCCCAGGGTCCTGGGATCGAGCCCCGCATTGGTCTCCCTGCTCAGTGGGAGCCTGCTTCTCCCTCTCCCCCTCCCCTGCTTGTGCTCTCTCTCTGTACCAAATAAATAAATAAAATCTTTAAAAAAAGAAAAAAAGAAAATGCATGATCTAAGGTAATCATAAAATTTATTAATCTCTAAAAGAGCCACTTTTAAAGAAAAGAGGGTGTTATTAATATTTATAGAGGAACAGGTGTAAAGAGAGACTGCCCTGCAAATCGGTCCCCCAATCCTTATTTCTCCAGTAGCTTGGGGGACAGGGGCTGTTCCAAGTCCTCTGAAGAGTCTGCTAAAGGTATAGATTCCCAGGTCCTGCTCTCAGATTTTAATTTAGCCCCTCTGGGGTGGGGCGGGGCATATGCGTTTCTAATTAGATACCTTCTCCTGGGGTAATGCTGATGTGACATAGTTTGGTAGCCTGGCCCTGGGGAACCCACTCTCACTTGCTCCTAGGGTCCCAGTAAGTCACGACTCGGGGGAGAGTCTGGGTCCTTAACAGCCAGGGATGCAAAATCCCATGGCTTTTCTTTCGCCTCATCTACCTCTTCAGGTTGAGGCGAAGAACAAATGGGTCGAGGTGTATCTCTAATGTCTCCCCCCGCCCCCCACTCCTCTGAGTTTAGGACGTTTTCCATCCCCTGCCCGTACTGCCTCTTTATTCATCATTAAGGAGATTACCCCCACCACCAAGAACAGAAAGTCTGTCTGAACATTAGGAATGAGCTCATCAGAAAAACACCACCCCTCTGAGGCAACGTGCACAGGTGGAGAGCGACTACTCACAGACCTTTGAGGATTCGCTGATCTTGTACGGCCGTGACACTCGCGTCTGCCGGCTTCCCTCCATCATAAAAGAGACCGCAGCCCTAGAACGAGAACAGGACCTCTGAGCTGCGATACTAAACCCTAGGCCGTCTCTCTGTGTCAAATAAATAAAATCTTTAAAAAAATACACCCTAGGCCGTTCATTAATCGCAGCTCTGCCGGCAGACATCGATGACAACCGGGGTGCAGTCACACGGAGGAAAGAGGGAGAGAAGACCGTATGTTATCAAGAACACTCGTACGCGGAGATGAAAAAAATCAGGTTAGAATCCGAATCAGATGGGACATCTAAGGTTGTTCATTTATTCACTAAAACCTGACACCGTGTGTTTTAGGCCACCTCCTACAAATATCTACCTTTTGATGCTTGATCCCGAGGCGGGCTTCTCCTTCTTTGAAGGCTTTGGCTGGATCAAAATTATAATGACAACAGTTATCATTTCAAAGCCCAGACTGTGACCCAGGAACCAGGCTAAGGGATGTACGCATGCGATCTCATTTGAGCCCAACTACTCAGCCGGGCTGTCACATCCCGTTTTACAGATGAGGACACTGGGCTCCAGGTCATAAAGCTCATAAACGGCTGGGACTCAAACCTAAGCCTGTCCAGCTTCAAAGTGGGCAGTCGTGGACCCTTCACCAGGAAGCTCTGCTGAATGTGGCCCAGTGTTTGAGAGTATCTTACTTTAAAAATATCATGATGAAGGCCAGGATGTGATGCAGTGACGACAGACACATATGAAATACAGCCACATTCTAGACACAGGTGCTTTCCTTCAAGTGTGTTCCTAGGTCTTCACGGATTTAATCCCCAGAAAACCCCCAGAGGCCAGCACTATTATTCTCCTCAATTTATGGAGGAGAAAGCTGATAGTGATATGGTCACTTGCCCAGTGTCACACGGTCAGGAAGGAGCGACAGATGTGGGAATGCAACCCAGGGAGGCTTCCTTGCTCTCAACCCCTAAGCTATCCTGCCTGGCTATTTAAAAAAAAAAAAAAAAAAAAAAGCTTACAAGCAGAGTGCCCTGCCTAAATCATCCAGTATAAAACTGAACACTTCTGTTCACCTCTCCAGACCTCATAATCACCCCTATGGGATGCGCTGGTGTATCAGACAATGTGAAAGTTTCTTCCAGCTTTGAAATGCCAACTACCTCACTAATAGCAGTACAGAGCCAGGCTTTGGGGGGTTTGGGGGGATGGGAGCACAAAGGAAGGACTACCCTAGCTACATGGGCACAAGTCACATACTGGGTTTAAGGAGGAATTTTTTCCTCTGCTCTGAGTTGAGAAGAGTCCATTTGTTACCTACTGAACAAACAGCCCAGGCTAATAACAAACAATGTCACAAGAAGCAAGCACTGTGTCAAGATAATGGGGGTCACACTGAGGGAGGGGGTCCAGCATTCCCACGGGAGTAACTTGGGGCACAATCCATCCTGTCCAGCTCCCTGGGGAAAGGAAAGGACAACTAGATTTTTGACAAACTAGCAACTTTGTGACAAAGGCCAGCTGTACCCACCCCTGTCCCTTCTGACTGCCTGGGGGCCGCTAGAGAGTTCAAGAGGGAAAGGTAGGAAACCAATATTCATGCAGTGCTTGCTGGCTGTTTAGGTATCTTAGGTATCTTCACCCTCTGAGACAGGTGCCCAATCATCTCTGACGCCCAGGCTCAGGTGGTAGAGAGGCCTGCCCAAGGTCACACCCCAGAAAGCAGCAGGTCCCTCTCTCTCTCCACCACCCCTGCAGCCAGCCTGGGCTCGGGTCTGCTCTCAGCGCTGAAAGCTTTCGTTTCTAGGCCAAGATTTCTTGAGAGAGTTTCCCTGGTGGAGGCTCCCTTTTGTCTCGGGGCAAGTGGTTTGGGGCCAACGTGTGTGGGAGCGTTGGGTGTCAGCCGCCTCCTGGGCTTCCCGGAGGCAGATGAAGGGGTCAAGGCCATCCACAGGGGCAGGGGCGATCCCCAGTTCCGCGTCAAAAGGTCTTTTAGTAAACACGGGAACAGAGGCTCGTCCGGACGGAGGGTCCCCAGGGAGCCTGCTCTCCGAGCTGCTTCCCGGTTCCCACCCTGAACCTGGCCGACCTCAGCGATCGGGAAACGGACTCGGACGCCCGCCGCAACTCACCAGCTCCGGGTCTCGCGGCCGCCGCGGTCGCTCGCCCGCCCGCACCCGCACCCCGCGGCCGAACTGCCGGCACAACGGCCGCCGGGCAGGCTCGAGCCGGCAGCGAGGAGGAGGCGGAGGGAGGCGGAGTCGGATCGCGGCCGGGCCCGCGCCCGCGGCGGGACGCGGGGACACTCACCTGGGCCGCGCGCGCCAGGCCGCGCAGGCCGCACCTGTCTCACCTGCGGTTCTCCCTCCGCCGCGCCCCCCAGCACCCAGGGCCGCGGGGAGGGAAAGGGGGCGGCGCGGCCGGGGGTCACCGCTCGCTCGGGTGGGCGCCCCCCTCCGCCCGGCCCCCATCCCCCGACGGCGCGCGCGGACGCCCACCTGGAGGGCGCGCTACGGGAGCGGCGCGGGGACCCCCGGCGGTGGCGGGACCGGGCGGGCGCGGCGGCGGGGCCGGGTCGCCGGAGCCCCGGGTCCGTCCTGCTGCGCAGCCATGGCTCCGCCAGGAAGTGCGAAGCCGAGGGCGGAGGCGGCGCGCGCGGCCAATGGCGGCGGCCGCGAGGAGGTGGGCTCAGGCGGCGCCGAGGCGGGGCCTGCGCCCGGGGGGGGGGGGGGCGGCGCGCAGGGGGAGGGGGCGGCGCGAGGGGGAGGGGCAGTGCGTGGGCTCCTGCCGGGGAGGGGGTTGCGGCGCGCGGGGACAAGGGGGAGCGCGCGGGGCCGAAGCAGGGGGTGGCGCGCGGGGCCGGGGGGGAGGGGTGGTGCGTGGGGGCTGGGGGGAGGGGTCAGCGCGCGGGGTCGTGGGGGGGCGCCCACGTCCGCCACAGACCCCCGTCGCCCAACTCGCTCCCGCGTGCGCGGGGGCCCCAGCCTCGCACCTGGAAACGCCCGCTGGGGTCCGCCACCGTCCCTGGCACAGCCCTTAGGTACCGACCCGAGTACTGCCAGGGGTCATCGCGGCAGCCTCCTGGCTCCCTCACTTCCTTCCAAGTCTTAGCTCATCAGTACGCTGCGCTCACCCTAAGGTGAGGCCTCCGCTGGCCCCTCTAGGTAAGGACAGCCCCCCACGCCCCCATCCCCCGCTCTGGCCACTTCCAGCTTTGCGCTTCACTTAGCTCTTAGCACCGTCGAATATTACAAATCACTTTCTTATTCATTCGGCTTATTGTCTCTCTTCCCCACTAGAAACCTTCCAGGAAACAGTTCACTGTTGGTTTTATTCCTGGCTGGGCCCCCAGGACTAGTACAAGGTAGGTGCTCAGTAATCAGTAAGTATTTGTGGAACGAATGAATTTAAGCATCACCCACCAATCTATGAATTGTCAAACTTATGTCATGCTACAGCATGGATGAACCTGGAAAGCATTAGGCTCAGTGAAAGAAGTCAGGCACAAAAAAGACACAGATTGTATGATTTTAGTTATATGAAGTGTCCAGAAAAGCCAAGTCCACAGAGACAAAGTAGGCTGGTGGTTGCCTAGGTCTGGGGGATATGGAGGTGACTGTTTAAATATAAGGGATTTCTTCTTGGGTGATACAAATGTTCTACAATTAGATGATAATGATGGTTGCACAACTTGAATATACCAAAACCCATTGAATTGTACAAGTTAAAAGGGCAAACTTACGATTCGTGAATTGTATCTCAATAAAGCTGTTACAAAAACAAAAAAACAAACAAAAAACACCTCTCTCTCCTTGTTTTTCTACTCCCTGCCTTCTCCGGAAAGGATTCAGAGCATCATTCAGGGCTGCATAAAGCAAGGCTAGATCCAGCCACTGAAGGTGGGCCAGGACAGAAAAGAAAAATAGGGATGGGGAGTCAGCATGACCAGGCAAATACTCAAGGCTTGTCTTTGTTTTTTCTGTGCTAGACACAACACTCCACTCAGGCCCCTTCCATCAGATAATTCCCAGCGAGGAACCATGTGGTCCCTGAGCAGCCTGGGTCCAGGCCCTGTCCCACCCTCACCATGCATTTCTCCCCAGAGGCTGCCTGCCCTGAAGTGTGGGGGGAGGGGGATGGGTGGCAAAACGCAAAGTAAAGGTGCAGCCGTGACAGCTTGACTGCAGGTCTCATGCCTACAGGAGGGGCAGATTGGCCTGGGTAAGCTCTCTCACTTTCTCCTGAGTGCATGTCACATCCTGAGCCTGTTTCCTCACCTGTGAATGGGGTCAACTGAGAGTAGAGCCAGCCTGCCCTTCCCTCCCTAGTTCAGCCCACTGCACATTCACACCCTGCTTCTTTCTGAAAAGCATTACATTTATGGCACTTGAAAAGAAATTACTTTTGATAATTGGGATTTGTATTAAATATCATTAATTTGGTTTTTTTTTTTTTTTTGGAGATTTTGTTTATTTGACAGAGAGAGACACAGCAAGAGAGGGAACACAAGCAGGGAGAGTGGGAGAGGGAGAAGCAGGCTTCCCATGGAGTGGGGAGCCCAATGTGGGGCTCGATGTGGGGCTCGATCCCAGGACGCTGGGATCATGACCTGAGCTGAAGGCAGACGCTTAACAACTGAGCCACCCAGGCCCCCCAAATATCATTAATTTGTTGAGAAACAAAAGTATAGAAAGTATCTTTTTAATTTAAAAGGAATTAGGGTAAAACTAACCCTGGAACCACCTAGAGGATCCTTTGAATGCTATTCTCACTGTTTCTTCACCTCTCTTCCCTTTTCTGTGGGGACAAGCACACAGTCACCTGTCAATACTTTACTCCGGCATCATCTTTACTCTAAGCCTTACTTGCTCATCTTTGGCCCTCCCTTGACCCATCTCCACTGTAAAACAGCTAATCCCACATCTCATTCTATGTCTGTATCTTGACGCATGAATATATGCTATTACTTGAACGCATTCATTCATTCATTCATTCATTCATTCAACAGACTTTTAGGGAACTTCTACTATGTGCTGGGCGCTGTGGTACGTGCCAGGGATAGAAAGAAGACATTTTCAGGGGCGCCTGGGTGGCTCAGATGGTTAAGCGTCTGCCTTCGGCTCAGGTCATGATCCCAGGGTCCTGGGATCGAGCCCCACATCGGGCTCCCTGCTTGGCAGGGAGCCAGCTTCTCCCTCTCCCTCTACTGTTCCCCCTGCTTGTGCTCTCTCACTCTCTCTACCAAATAAATAAATAAAATCTTTTTAAAAAAAGAAAGAAGACATTTTCAGGAATTTTAGGGAGGGAGGCAAACAAGTAAATGAGCAATTACTCTATCATGGTCAGTCTCATGTTAGGGTTATATTCGGGGGCTATGGGTGGGAAGTATTCTTTTTTATAACTGTAGTTAAAGATTCCCTCTCTATATATATACATATTACATACATAGTAGATAGATGGAGAGATATAATACAGGTAGTTAGATATATGTATGTATCTCTACATGTATATGGATATATATCTGAGAGATTTAGCTATAGCTATTCATTGTGAGAGCCTATCATTTGGCATTGGCATCTGTCCACCAGCTGTTGGATCCTTTATGAATGAGAAGGTACACAACATGATGGGAGGTCTGGAATAAGGGCCTGGGACGAGCTCCAGATTCCACTCGTGATCTTGGCCTGAAAAGCATGCAAATGTGGCTAACTTGAATTCATCCTGTTTTCCCCAACACTTAGCTCACGACCTTTTCACGTTTTTTTCTTTAATATTTTCTCTCAAGTTATAAAAGAAGTGCACGCTTAACTTGGGAAAGACGGACAAGTCCAAAAGGAAAAATAAACCACTCACTTCTGCACCATCCAAAAATAATCATTGTTAATATTGTTGTGTCTCCAGATTTTTCTCTTATATAATTTCTTTACGATAATAACCACACTAGCTACAGCTTACTATGTGCTAGGCATTGCTCTAAGCTCCCTGCACTTATTTACTCGTCTCCCTGCCTCTTTGAGGGAGGTAGTATTACTTTCCCTGTTTACAGATGGGGAAACTGAGGCCCAGAAAAGTTAAATCGCTTGCCCAAGGTCACAGAGCTTGTAGGGAGCAGAGCTGGATTTTGAACCCAGGCACGCGGGCTTCATAGTCCACAGGTCGAAACTAACCTTGCCCTCTGCACCATCATGCCTCTGTGCCATGGGAAAAGTGAGGTGCACTCTGTGCATGGAAGTTGGAAACACAGACACCCATGAACGGGGAAAAAAATCGCCCACCCCAGGAGAACAGCTCTCAGTACTTACGTGTAAATCAGCCCAGTACGTTCCCCATGCATAAATTCCCCACGCAGCTATGCAAATGAAGTCATGTGATACAGGCCCTTTGCTAACTGCCTCTTTTCCTCTTTTGCAAATATCAGTTGTTTTTCTCATGCTGGTAAGTTCTCTTCTGCGATATGCTTCCAACAGTGGCATCCAAGTCCTCCATCTTCATTGTGCACTTGACCCTCCCTCCCTATGGGGCATCTGGCTGCTTGTGCTGTTAGAAATAACGCCAGGTGAACATTCTTATACACACACCTTTGTGCACATCCCTAATGATAAAGCGGAGTTGCTGGGCCAGGGGAGTACGTGTTGGTAAGGCTCTAATCAACCCCCCAAAGGCTGTCCTAGTGGATACCCCCTGACAGCGGCTCAGCACCCTGACACTTCTGAGATTCGGACACCAGGTGGAACCACGGCCAGCTCCATCATTTGCAGGGCCCAGGGCAAAGTGAAAATGTGGGGCCCCTTGTTCAGAAAGTAGGAAAAAGCTATTTCCTTTCTTTGCAGTCTCTGATCTGTCCTGGTGCTTTTTATTGGCTGTTTCGTGTCGTGTGCCCTGGGGGGATACTTGTGGGGCACGTGCAGACCCTCACAGCACCTGGGGCCATGTAATCTGGTGGGCAGGGCCCAGAGGCTTGGCTCTAAGCCTTCCCGCACCTGTGCCCAAGCCCCCACTGAGCGACAGCGATGTAAACCTGTGACCCAAGGCCACCCGCACGCGCTCCACTGTCCCACCCGGCCTCGCTTACACAATCCAAACCCCCAAAATAGAATTATTAAGAATTTCCAGACAACCATCTCAGAGCGTTAAACCCCAAGTGCGGGGCCTGAGTGTGGAGCTCTTGGACACTGCCGGCCAGATGGGGCAGGTGGGACTGTCACCAAAGAGGGACATGTGAGGCTTGTGTTATTTCTATTCTCTCAATACTTTAGTTCAAAGACACGTCACAGCAGAGTGCCCCTGGTAAAGAACGTCATCTGGATCCACAGACGGGCAAAAAAAGGGCAGGCGAGGGGCATAGGCAAGGGAGGCCCAGGTGAAGGGCAGGTCACACACAGGCCCTGTGCCACACTCCCTCGGTGGCCCACGTCATCCTTGTGGCGGCCTTCAGGGTCTGTGCTACTGTTCTCCCCACTTTACAGATGAGGAAGCAGAGGCTCTGCAGGACTGCATAGCACATCGATCGAGTACCACGCAGACGGTAAGTGCAGGAACCAGGACAAGACCCCGCGCCATCGTGGGTGGGCCAGCGCCCAGACTTAACTAGCGCGTTAGAAGTTTCTCTGGAAGGGCTGCAAGCTGCTTTCCTTTGCAGCTCCCGAGTTGGTGCTGACCTTCTGGTGCCCAGGAGGTCACAGCCCATAAGGAGGGGAGGCAGGGAAGGGTGTCAGTGAGCTGCCAGCCAGGCTCCCAGAGAGCAGCTGGGCTTGGCGGGGGGCAGACCGTGAGGACCGCTCCGTGCAGCCAGCCCTGCCCCCCCGCAGGGAGTTTGCAGGCTCCCCAGCCTCCTGGAGGAGGCGGGAGGGCGGAGGAGGTGGGCCTGTTCTCTAAACAGTCTGTTCTTCTCACCAAGGGTTTGTCCTTGGCCCAGCTTCCCTCCCAAAGGCTGAGTAATCTAGAAAAATTGCAGCCCGGCATAAAGGAGCAGGCCCAGGGGCCAACCAGGATCACGAAGTCAAGCGGAATTCTTGGCCTGCTCACTCTTGTAAGTTTGTAACCATTTAGACCCGAGGACAAGAAGCAACAGATGCCTTTGGAGGATCAGGCCCGCGTGGTTAGAGCCTCAGCAGGAGACTGGCCCCAGTCCGTGGATCCTCAGACCCTCATCTCAGATTAAAGAAAAAACGCCTCCCTGCGATTGGCACTTGCGCCTTCCTCCTTCCCTCTCATCCCCATCGCTTTTCTCCCCAGCTCTGCCTGGGTCTGAGCCCTGGCCTGGCTTCTGCCCCCCAGCTGCGAACTGGACCAGCTACTTAGCTTCAGCGTGCCTCAGTTTCCCCATCTCCAAATGGGGTGGCACTTGTTAAATGACGTCATGCATGACCACCACTTCCCGTGGTGCCTGCCACATACAGCTGCATGCATATGAGCTTTTGCTGAGGATGCCTGACCCTCTGCAGGCCAGAGAGCAGTTCTTGGCTGAAGCCCCTGCTTCCCATAAAAATACGAAGTGTCGGGAAGCAGACACTTCCTATTAGTCATGGACACCTTAGCGTTCATCAGCTTAGGGCGCCTTCTCAAGATCATGCTGTGACTAGAGGGGAAGAAAGATACCAGCCCCCGGACAGAGGTAGCGACAAGGCGGCAGGGGAAGCAGGTATCCCAGAGAAGCTGTCCAGGAAGCTCCCTGTGGATCACGGTTTCACCTGGAGCCGGCTCCGTCTTGGGTCTTGTCGCTTACCACGGAGGCCCCTAACTCAACTGGCCTTGCCCACAGCCTGACTCCTCCGTGACCTGCCAGACGGACCATGTGCTTCTCTTCCTGCCAACGGTTAACATGAAATGCCTGGGACTTCAGGTTTGCGAACCTGGTTTGGGTCCAAGGCCAGCAGGTAACCCTGAGGGTGCCGTATCCTACTCTGGAATCTTCAGACTTCTCATGTGCAGAATTAGACAACACGAGTTAGTTGCTCGTAGGTCCGCTCGTTGGTTACACCCCTGCCCTCCCTGGTGGAATGATCACGGACAACGTCCCAGTGTATTCCTGCGTGTCTGCAGAGAACCTGGACCCCATTCTGAATCCGGCATCGGGGATCAGTGTAGGGGAGGCAGGCAAGCCGTCAGGCTCTAGAACCGTGTTGTGCCCACCACGTCACCCACGTGGGCATTTCAATTTCAATTAGCTAGGTTTACATAAAATTAAAAATTCAGTTTCTTAGCTGCTTGAGCCACAGTTCAAGTCCGTCACAGGCACACGCCCTGGTGGCTGTGGTCATGGGCAGCAGAGGTTACAGGACATTTCCGGCATCTCAGAAAGTTCTACAAGAGATGCAGTCCTAGCTGCATGACTTACTGGCTTCCTAGCACTTACTAGCTGCATGACTTGGAGCAAGTTACTTACTGCTCTGGGGCTCTGTCTCCTTACCTACGAAATGGGAATTAATCCACTCCACAGCAAATGCTTAATTGAGTGCCTGCCAGGTATTCTGCGAGGGGCTGGGGATACAGCACTAAACAACACAGATAAATAAAATCATGGCCCTCATGGAACTGACCTTTTTTTTTGAGAGAGAGAGTGGGGAGGAGTGGAGGAAGAGAGAATCTCAAGCAGGCTCCATGCCCAGCAGCAGAGCCTGATGCAGATGCAGGGCTCAATCTCATGACCCCAAGATCATGACCAAGAAACCAAGAGTTGGACACACAACAGACTGAGCCTCCCAGCTGCCCCATGGAACTGATCTTCTAAAGGGGGGCAAAACCAGCATTTATCTCTTGAAGTTGGTTTGAGAATCAAATGAAATAGAGCAGGAAAAGCACTTTACATGATTCCTGGAACATTCTAAGTGCTTAATAGGTGGTAGCTGCTATTACTGCTAGTAATCTGCTCAGCTCCCTTCTCCCACGGCCCTGCTAACTGGGATGGGTAAACACATAGCATTCAGGCCTCCACTTCTTATCCTATACCCAGTGCAGACATTGCTAATCAATCACAGCACACTTTCCACTGAACCCAGAAGTACCTATGGGATTCTCAGAATAGAGCATCAGGCAGCGCTCTCAGACACATTCTCTCAGAACTCACATCACCCTGTTCAAAATCACCTCTGCATTCTTCTACAAGCTGCCTGCCCCCCCCAACCCTGATGCGGGGACCCCTTAGGTCCTGTGGAAGCTCACACTCCAGGCCCAGGCCTGCCCCCACTTAGGAGAAAGAGTAAGTGTCTGGTCATTACCTTGTCAGCCAAGCAGCTGGTCCTGCTCTGACCTCCTGCCAGCAACAAGCTTCTTCCTTTTCTGCCTCCTGGAGCGGGGTCTGGCCTTATTTGCACAGGGCTCCTGGGGTCTCGAATCCTGTTCTTCTTTTTTGTTCGAGAAAAGTGGATTGTTTCTAAGCCAGGCAAATCAGTCCTGGACAAAAAGGTCTTGAGTGAAGCCCAGCCCGCATCTGAAGTGGGAGAGACAGACACGTGAACATGCAATTGCAATATGGGTAAGATAAGGGGAGGGTGGAGGTGGCCCTGTGTTGCGGGGACCCAGGGGAGGGAGGAACGCTGGGTCCCTGGAGTCTGCCTCACCAGGTGGGGGGCAGGGAGGATGCACATTCTGGACTACAGCCTCCAGCCAGACCCTCTGAGCTGTCTGTCCTGGTCCCTTTGTCCTCCACTGCACAGACTGACCCGGATGGCCCTGCCTGACGCAGCAGGGCTGTCCTCTCTCTGGATCCTAGGTCGGTTTGGTTTTGCTGGTCCATTCAATCATTCATTCAGCACAGCGTGTAGTAATGATACCTGGTATAAACCTCGGAGTTCAACTCTTGTGTCTACCATTTACCAGCTGTGTGACTTGGGTGAATTACCAAGACTCTCTGTGCCTTGCTTTTCTCCTCTGTGAAATGGGGTTTACAACAGAGCCTACCAGTGAGGGTCTGAGTCTCAGGGAGGATTTAGCGAGATATTGCACGTAGAGGGCTTAGCACGGTGCCTGGGACACGGCAGTTAAGTATGCAATACCAGCACTGCTATTGTCCGTCACACGTACATCTCAGGGTCTCCAGAGAGTTTTCTTTTTTGTTGGCATGGTACATTTCATGAACTAAAAAAATTTTTTTTTCAAATACTAAACTTTCCTGGCACCCCTGAGATAAAGCTTACCTGCTCATGACACATAGCGATTGGGGATTGACATCTGAGCTATTTGCAAGGATAAATGGGGGATCAGTAGGCAGGTGAAGGAGGAGGGGTATCCCACGCAGAGGAGATAGCTGGTACAAAGGCTGGGGGGATGAGGCAGCAGGTGAGTCCAGCAAAAACCGGACCTGGCTGGAACAATGGGCACCTGACCTGCAGGGAACAGCAGGAAACAGGGTCTCCGCGAAAACAGAAACCCGTCAGCACTGAGCTGGGTGTCTGGCACTGGGTGATTGAGGCAGCTTTATTTTAAATTCCACAAGTGCACCATGAACTTCGAGAAGGAAAAGCTCAGGTAACTTTTTTTTTTTTTTTTTTTTGGTCACACTCAGTATATATTTGTTGTCTGTGTCAAGTTTTAGCAGGTTTGAGGCTCCTTTTCGTCCAAGCTGCAATTCATGAGTAGAAGATGCTGCCCAGCTGCCACCCCCACCCCAATCCTGCCCCTTGTGAGTATCTGAGGCTCCTACCCTGGATGCCTGGGGGCTTTCGGCCTCCTCCCCTTGAGGACAGCCTGCAGCCAATGTCAATGGCTGACCAGTGTCAGAGTATAAATATATGGCCCTCTTGCCTCAAGATGGAGGGGACGATTTTGTGGTTCTAGTCAAGCTCTCGAATCCCAGAGCTCTTTCTGGGATTAAGCTGAGAGCACCCTTTGCTGGGCTTTCTCCTGCCCTGTCCTGCTTCTTCTGTTCCTTACAAGTTTCTCCGGAGAGCTCTCCCTTCATAAACCACTGTAGAGAGTTCAGGTCTCAAGATCTGCTTGTTAGACACCTGACCTAAGATGCTACAGATGAACAAGTCTGTTGACACCTGTTGTTTTGTCCTCGTAAAGTGATAGCCCTGCCCTTACCAATCCTTTCCACCTTAGTCTGGCTTTCCCCAGACGCAGACCTTGAGGCTAGGATTCAAGTTCAAGTAGTGAATTTGGAAAGTGCAGAAACACTGATCAGGAGGAGGAAGCAAGGCAGCAAAGGGAAGCCAGCCGCTTCCGAGGGTGGCGGGAGCTTTATACACAGGGAACTCTCGGAAATAGTGGAGACCACACACCTAAGGAGTGGGGCAGGCAGGGTACTTACACAACATTCCTGGCGTGTATTGGCTGACAGCTGCTCACGGGTCTCATCAGTCCGCACTTCCAGCCCGCTGGGCGGAGGACACAACATCTCCCGCCGATCTAAGGCAAAGCCCTCCGACCCAGGGCTGCAGATACCACCAACAGGGGAAGTGAGGCCGGCGCAATATGGATGGACCACCTTCCTTTAGGAAACTATTCCTGCCCAAAGTCCTTTCCAGAAGCTTGTATTGAAGTTGCCAGTCTGAGAACCGCCCCCGCCCCCCAAGCGTGGGCATAGACCCATATTTAGCCAATCAGAGCCAACGATTCGTTGGCTTCAGTGATTGGCTGAAAGGGTGGGCCTGTCCTCCAAGCAGGGCCAATCAGAATCGTTCCCTGGCATTTTTATACAGTTGCCAGGAGCGAGAAGTCCTCTCTCTTCTTTGTTGCTAACTGGGGGAGGATGTAAGCTCAAAGTTCTCTGCATGGGATGGTTACACTGTGCCGGTACATTCCCCATCTTTTTTTCTCCCCAAACTATTGGCTTACGTCAGTGTGATTTCTGGTTCTGTCACTTGCAGCAACTGAGTCCTAACTAATATGGAGTCCATTGTGATTTTAATCCCTCAGACTCACGAGGGCCAGCGTTTTTGGGGATATTTTTTGATAGGGAATCTTGGATTATGAGTCTGTGTACTCAAGGCCAGGCCGTTCCCATGTGGTTGGTTCCCGGAAGGCTGAGCTCAACTGGAAAGCTTCGTATTTTTCTCTTCCAAGTTACGTAATACATGTGATTCCAGGAAGTAGGAATGCAGGATGGGGGTGTGGAACAGGGAATCAGAGGGATATACCCTCAAGCTGACCAATGCAGGGGTGACTGCGTGGTTGAGCCCATGGGGCCTCTGGGGAGCCCATGTAATGAATTTCAGAACTGTCCACCCAGGAGACAAAAGGGGGATACATTTGTGTATGGGTTCCTGCACCCCACTGGTCAAGGGTAGCCCAGGGGTGTGAACCCCATCGCCAGCTACTGGGTGGTGCCTGTGTGAGTCTCCCAAGGGCTCCGCGGTGTTGCACGCCATGGTGTCTGAGAGGTCTGGGGGCCAAAGGCAAGATGTAGGTGGCCTTGGCTGGGTGTCCCCATCATTTTGCTTTTACAAAGCTGGTGAGGTCTTTGGGGCTCAGAACTGCCAGGGGCATGAGTGAGAGGTCGGGGAGAGGATGTGAAGGGTGTGTACCTCCTCAAGTGACCATTTGTCATCTAGCAGATTGAGGGCCACAGTCACCCCTTGTTGGGATTTTCTTGAATGGGATGAGAGCTTTGGAGTCACGTCTACCTGCCACACCTCTGATCTGCCTTCTTGACCTTCAATCTGGGGCAAAGTTCTTTTTCTGGTCACCTCCTAGGCATCCAGAGATTTGGCTGGCCGGGTCCCTGTCCCCTGCACACTCCCTCTGACCCCCGTACTGCCCTGGCTGCCACGTCCTCCTCCTGCCCCTGCCGCTTCCTCTTGTATTCATCTCAGAGATTTCTCAACATTGTAAGGGCAAAAAGAATTCTGACCCCATCAATTATGCCACCCGTTGGCAAGCAGGGTGGGCTGGTTATTCCCTGTTTGCTCATCCCCCAGCTCCATTCCCCAGTCTCTCCAGATCCCAGAAGTTTGACATTGGTGGACATCACCTGGGCTCCCTCCCCTAGGGCTTCTTGTTGGCTTCAGCCAATGGGAGGCGGGAGGGGACAGGTTGGGACATTTCTTTTTTTTTTTAATTTTATTTATTTGAGAGAGAGAATGAGATAGAGAGAGCATGAGAGGGGGGAGGGTCAGAGGGAGAAGCAGACTCCCTGCTGAGCAGGGAGCCCGATGTGGGACTCGATCCCAGGACTCCAGGATCATGACCTGAGCCGAAGGCAGTCGCTTAACCAACTGAGCCACCCAGGTGCCCGAGATTGGGACATTTCTTTCCCTGCATGCTCCATGCTCTGGCTGAGGGTCCATCCGTGGCTACTCCCTTCCATGACCACAGCTCCTGCCAGGCATCCTATCAAAAAGAAATCATTCTGACACTCTTTAAAGATGCAAGGTAGGCTTGTTTTAAGACTATGGCAACAGGAGGGGTGCCTGGGTGGCTCAGTCAGTTGAACGTCCAACTCTTGATTTCGGTCATGAGACTAGCCCTGCATCGGACTCCACGCTGTGCGTGAGAGTCTGCTTAGGATTCTCTCTCTCCCTCTTCCTCCACCCCTTCCCTGCTGCTCTCTCTCTATATATAAATAAATAACTATTTTTAAAAACCACAATTTTACCCAATGTTTAAAAAAAAAAAAGGCGATGGCAATAGGAGAGACTCTGAGCTCACCTCCAAATATAGTAGAGACAGCTGAGGGTTTACAACTGGATGGGGGTGGTGGGTGGAAACCTGCTAGAAGAGCCATCAGGGTGGGAGGTTCTTGCTGAAGACGTCAAGGTGGGGGATGGGGAATTTGGTCAGATACCAAGGGTCGGGGGAATCTCCCTAAACTGACTTAGCAGGATTCTTTGCTAAAACTGGGCTTGGCAGGCCAAAGACAGAATGGGAGCTGAGGTCAAGGAAGAGCCTGACTATTGTTTGGTCAAGGAGGAGGCTTCGCAATGCTCACTCCTTGGCTCCAGCCCCCCAGACCCTGGGGAATGCTCCTTCCTGCCCCGAGTCTCCAGGCTCGGGGGGGCAGGGGGAGAGCTCCATTCTTGCTAGCTCCGGGTGCCTCAATAGCCCTTGCTAGTTCTAACTTGGTTCCCCCTTAATGAAATTCTCTTCAGAATTCCATCTGATATGCCCTCTGTTTGCTGTCAGCACTCTGGTTCCCTACCCTGGGAAAATTTGCCTTTCTGGCCAGTTGTCGTTTTCCGAAGTGGCTTTAAGAGTTGTCTGTTTTCTGCCTCATACTGTCAACGTGGAGGATCTGAACTTGTGGTCAAACGGGAAGACAAATCTGAACCCACAGCATTACATAGCAGGAAGCTCATGGGATCTGGTTTTGAAGCCTGGCACTTTTGACTGGCCGCACAAGGGACGAAGGACAAATGGCTGAGTCCCAGTCTCCCCATCAATAACAAGGACACGGTAATACCGACCCTGCCAATCAGCCTGCGTTAAGCATTGTGTCTAGTATTATCAGGTCACAGAAGGAATATTTATTGAATGAAAAAAGGAATGGATGACCAAACAAAATGAGCTAATGCATAAAAGGCCCCTAACTTCTAATGTCTAATTAATTTTAATTTTAAACACGTGTCTTTTAAGATGCTCTCTGAGCCAGCTTCCACGTACTTGACTCACCAGGTTAGCAGACACGTCCCGTCTCGTGTATGGAACACATCAGCACCCTCAGCCTGGCCCCTATGCCCTCCTTCCCCCACCAACTGGCCTACACGCTCATCTAGGGTCTGCTGGGTTTGTGCCCAAACTTGTTCCTGGCGGTTGTGTTTATCATTGTCATTAATGGATTTAATTAAGTGTTACATACACTGTGGGAACATGAGGGTAACAAGAAGGAATGAACAGGGTCTCTATGAAATCTGGGAAGACTTGAAGTCTGGGGCCGGGTGACACCGAATTAGCTGTGGAACCCGGGAAGGCAAGGTGGGAGGGAGTGTGAGCCAGAGGGAAAGGGCACAATTGTCCAACAGGTTGCTCAGAAAGCATCCTTAGTTTCTCCAGCTGCGGCAAAGAACAGGAAACGGGAAACTGTAGCGGATGGGTAATAGTGTGATCTGTGCGGGAGAACGGGGAGATGCCACAGGACCGTGTCACCAGCCCATGGCCCAGGAAAGAATGTCTGCTCAGACATCTCGGGTCATATGAAATCCACATGGAAGGGGTGCATTTAAGGGGGCTTCCTGAGACAGCTGACTTGTTAGCCCCATAATTAGCTGATTGACCGGAGTCCTGATTTACAGGATAAGAAAGCCTCCTTGTCTTTCTGAAGTTCTCTGTCTTCCCTTTTTCCCTGTTTTTCCTGTTTCCCTTTCTCTCTTCTCTGCTATTTTGTCTGCCTTTTCCTCTGTTTATTAAATGTCCAAAAAGGGAACTGGTTTGTTTTTTTTTTTAAAGATTTTATTTATTTGACAGAGAGAGACACAGCGAGAGAGGGAACACAAGCAGGGGGAGTGGGAGAGAGAGAAGCAGGCTTCCCGCCGAGCAGGGAGCCCGATGCGGGGTTCGATCCCAGGACCCCGGGACCACGACCTGAGCCGAAGACAGACGCCCAACGACGGAGCCACCCAGGCGCCCCGGGAACTGTTTTTTAAATGTATTTAATTGTAATTCTATTTAATATTTAATTTTTGACGTATTGTACTTCTTGAATTAAATGGAATATTCGCTGTTAAGTAACTCACACAGTGTTTTTACTGGCTGCAAGCTGCGGTTATGGGCTGCTTCGTGCCGAAGGGAGGCTCACTTTAACTTCATGCTGCAGACAATTGTGGCTTTTTATTTGCATATTGTCCACATTAATTTCTTCCTCCCTGTGGATCTCCCCGGTGTGATGGTTTCCCTTCTCCAGCCCGAAATAAGTGGCTCAGAAAACAATCTTAGATGAACCTGAAAGTATTCAAAGTTCCAGGTAAAATTACTGCTTGAAAAACCTCGGGGCGCCTGGGTGGCTCAGTTGGTTAAGCGACTGCCTTCGGCTCAGGTCATGATCCTGGAGTCCCGGGGTCGAGTCCCGCATCGGGCTCTCTGCTCGGCGGGGAGTCTGCTTCTCCCTCTGACCCTCCTCCCTCTCCTGCTCTCTGTCTCTCATTCTCTCTCTCTCAAATAAATAAATAAAATCTTAAAAAAAAAAAAAAAAAGAAAAGAAAATCACAAGCAAGGGCACCTGGGTGGCTCACTCATTAAGCGTCTGCCTTCGGCTCAGGCCATGATCCCAGGGTCCTGGGATTGAGCCCCACATCGAGCTCTCTGCTCAGCGGGGAGCCTGCTTCTCCCTCTGCCCCTTCCCCCTGCTCATGCTCTGTCTTTCTCTCTCTCTCTCTCTCAAATA